CACAGTGTAGAGAAATTGAAAAGTGTTTGGTCTAGTTTTTAATCTTTAAAAATTTACTCCAAGACTGTATTATCTGGGTTCATAAAAATCTGCAAAAAATGAGAGTGAGATTTTGGTGGGAAAATGTCACCAAATAAGTGATTTTAAACAAAAAGTTTCCTTACTTAAAATTATTAAGTTATTTGTCAGTTCTAAAGTTCATATAATTCTTCACAGCAAGATAACTTATAGTAGAGCGCCGATTATCCGATTTATCGGTATTGTCCAATCATCCGGATCGTTCGAGAACCACGTGTTTTCTTTCACTTTCTTATAAAAAAAATGCGAAAGAGTTATATTATTTGCAGAATATCTGAAAGGAGTCGAAAACTGCTTTGGTCCCTCGATGATCTTGAAAAAAAGCTCACGTTCTTTCCGCCCAATTTCTAAGTGGGTGGCAAATAGATTCTAATAAGGAAACAGGTTCCTAATAAAACTTTAAAATATTGAACTTTAAAACACACCATTTGTAATGTGCTATAATAGGAAGCACAACTGCAAAAACTGCAATTGCTAGTCCTAACATTCTCAAAGCCGGTTGGTTGTCCAATTATCCGGATTTTCCGTTATCCGGATCGGATTAGGTCCGGATAATTATAACTTTGATTCAAGTTCAAATTAATGTGGTTTTTTATTATTTTCTTTGACGAAAGAACTTTGAAAAACCATCTTAATTTAAGAATCGAATAAAAAATCTCGTTAAGTATTCGAACATCTTTTTTTTTCCCATTTATTCTTCATAAGCTGTTCTGGGATCTTCTAAATGAAACATCAGACTAACTTTTTCTTTTTAAACGAAAGGCGCTGCCATAATTTAATTTGCGACTTGCTAAATAATTAAACTGAATTTCAGAGGTTTATTCTTCGTAAGGCTACTTATAAATTATTCATGTGGTAGGATGTGAAAAATTAATGTTAAAATTACACATTCATAAATTCTGGACGAGAAAAATTTAATTTTTCATACATAATGTAGTAAGACTCACTTTTGAAATGTTACACTGAAAAATCCTGGTCATAACCCCTGGTAACAGGAGTTGCTATTTTTACGAAAATAAGCATTAGCACAAAGGGGGGCGTTCAAATATTTCGAAAGTACTTATAGGGGTTGATGTTTTGTTTATTTTTGCTGAGATGAGCAATGTTTAATCACGACACGAAAATAAAATTTTATTTTCATTGTAATGTTAAAATCTAATTTCAATACAAAAATCTAATATAAAAAGTTGGGGGGGGGGATTACACTTGGAAGAAAACTCAATTTTAAAATAAAAGTTGAATTTAGAGTAAGAAAAAGTTGGAAAAAAGATTTCTTTAAAGAGTTTCAAAGATCAAGAATTATGACCGCAGGTGGTAAGCAGTCAAGAGTTTTAAAGAACATTCTACTCAAATCTTTATAAGATGAATTCAAATGTAAAATTTCTGAGGCGAAATTACTTTTTTTTTAAAATTTTTAATTTAATCCTAAAATTGGATTATTGCAGAATCAGTAAAAGTTAAACCAAATAAACAAAAAGAGGTTGTCAAAAATTTCTTAGGTAAGCGAGGGGGTTATGCGATTAGCTGACAATAGGAAAAAGGGGTTTGAAACTGTCAAAAGTATGCTTACGTAATTTTTAAAAGACTCCAAATTACAGTTTTTAAAGAAATAAAAATTTTGAGATAAAAAAAAAGCATAAGGTTTACAAGCAAATGCGCAGATAAAGTAATTAAACGTTTATAATATCTCCAAAATATTTAAAAAAATCTTTTTTCGGAAATAATATTTGACATTTAAAATAAAAAAATAAAAAATTAAAAGTTTTCCTGTTTATAATTTAAACTTAAAGTTCTCTACACTAATATTTTTTTAATAATTTTTACTGTTTCAAGTAATGATGAATTCTTCAAGACTCGATCATAGAATTCTCTTGTGGAATTATTCTAAATTAGAATATAATGATGAGTATTTCCTCTAGTATTTCATCCTATTTTTGGGATTGTTTTCGACATGTTAAATATATTTAC